TACTATTACATATTACTCCTTCCCTCTACTGTATTTGGGTTTACTCTGCTAATTCTATTTACATCTTTTTGGTCAAACGCTTAATTCACTAACACTCAGTCTTCCTTCATTTCCAATATATACACTTATAAATTTATAAATTTCCTTTTACGTACCTCTATGACTGTATTCCACAAGAGGTGAAGTATGTACTAACTTCTAGCATCACTGTGCTTTGACTCAAGAATTATTTAGAGGTATGATTTTGAGTTTCCAAAGGTATAGAATGTTTTTATGCCTATAATTTTCTAGCCTAATTTGCTGGTGATCCTTTATTAATAAACAATAACTCTCTTTATCTGTAAGAACACCTTTTTGGGGTTTTTTCCCCTTTTTGTTTTAAAGTATATTTTGTCCGATATTATTATAAAACAGTGTCACCAGCTTTCTTCTGGATGATATTTGCATGGTGCATGATGTTAATTTCCAATTATTTTCTTTCACTCTTCTTATGCCATTATCCTTTTTTTCTTTTTCTTTTTTTTTTTTAGACAGAGTCTCACTTTTGTCATCCAGGCTAGAGTGAGTGCTGTGGCGTCAGCCTAGCTCACAGCAACATGAAACTCTGGGCTCACGTGATCCTCCTGCCTCAGCCTCCCGAGTAGCTGGGACTACAGGCATGCACCACCAGGCCCAGCTAGTTTTTTCTATATATATTAGTTGGCCAATTAATTTCTTTCTATTTATAGTAGAGACGGGGTCTCGATCTTGCTCAGGCTGGTCTCGAACTCCTGGCCTCCAGCAATCTGTCCACCTCGGCCTCCCAGAGTGCTAGGATTACAGGTGTGAGCCACCATGCCCGGCCCCGTTATCCTTAATGGGGATGTCCCTTGTAGACAGTTTGCAAAGAGAATATAACTGTCCCCCTCATCCAGCTTAAGAATCGTTTTCTATTGACAAGTAAGTTTAATCACTTTCATACATGCTATGGTCACTGATACGTTTCGCCTCATTTCAGTCATCTAATTAATCTCCAATTTCCTAAAAGTTGGGGATTATGGGCTCTGAATGTACCACATGCCGCACATCATAGCAAATATTGCTGTGTTCTAGCTTAGGCTCGTAATTTAGCGATTCTCATTGAGTGATGTAGACACATCAGCAAATTATATTCTCTTAAGACCACAAGGTCTTAAGTCTTCATACAAATAATACACACACAAAAAAATCCCAAACTAAATGGCTAGTCCACTACTCTTATTGCTTTACCTACAACATGAAAATAAATGAATTCATTGCCATCTACCTCCATGTTGCTGAACGTCCCTCTCTCCCACCCCTGTTTTTTGTAAAATTTCTGTCTGGAACAGCTCTCATTCTGTCTCTTCTTTCGTATTTCTTCTTCCTCATCCCAGTCTCTCATCATGTCTGACCTAAACAATTGCATTATTATCTTTTCACTACCTGCCTTCATCCAACTAACTACTACTCCAGTTTGCCCATCAGTTAAATAAGGGGCTGATGCTATCAGTGAATAGATCTGAACTTTACTCTATAGCTGGGTATTTCTCAAACTGAAATCCAAACATACAGTCTCACAGCTCCAAACATTCTATGACAATTTTTATTAATTTGTGGTTTTATTCCAATTAGTGTTCTGAATAATCTGAATGACAAACTGATAATTAAGCCATGCTTTTCAATAGCAGTGCCTGAGTTTGTCTTTTTTTTTTTTTTCATTGGCTCTGTTCTGTTCTCAGTGTCACTAGAACCAAACACATCACTTAAAATGACAGCTTTTAACTCTCAATGTGTCAGTTAGCACATCTGGCTGTGAGGTTGGCATGCTCCTAATGCTAAAATTGTCCCATGTCTGCTATTATGCTCTTTGGTGAAGATAATTTGCAATGGAAAGATATTGTCATGGAATAAGCTTTAATTTATTAAGTTATTTAATTAATGGAGACTTTGATATGACATCATAAAAACTCATAGTGCGGCAGAGTAATGGTCTATTTTAATTGTTATGGGCTAATGAGAGAGGAACAAAGGCAGAATTTATATGTAAATGATGTGTTTATGTCAAATGAGAGCCAAATGCTATTATGGGACACTGTACAAAAAGAAAGTCCCCCAATCTTTCAAAGAGAGAAAGGTGGGAAGAGAACTGAGTCATGGTATGGCTCAGAGTAGAAAGGCCTTGCCAAATTAAAAGAGCCTTTGCCATAGGAGACAGTGCACTTTATTTATTTGACATTCATTCATCAAAAATGCGTTAAATGCTCAATCGATAAATACTGAATGCTAAACACTGTTCTAGACACACCGAGGATACGGAAGCAAAGAAGACAAGCAAATTCCCTACTGTCATGGGAGTTACATTCAGACACTAAACAAATTAACGTGGGCTTATGTTGTGATGTCAGGGGGTGATACACCCCACCGAGAAAAATAAAGCAAGGCAAGGAGACGGGGTTGGTGGGTATGGATACAAATAGGCTTGTAGATTTGCTAGAGGAAAGGAAGTAGTTTCCTCTGATTGTTTGCTTCCCCAGTGAAATAAAAAGCAAGGAAATCAGCTGAGTGGGAGAACTGGGTTGGGGGTTGCGGGTTGAGTAGACGTGAAAGGGTAAATAGTTGTCTCGGAGAGAACAAGTATTAGGTAAATGACGTAGGACTGTCAAGTAGAATGGAGAATCCACTTGGAACTTGTGGACATCATTGAACGTAAAGCCAGCAGCATGGTTTTGTTTTCTCCATCCATCCATCCATCCATCCATCCATCCATCCACCCATCCATCCATCCATCCACCCATCCATCCATTCCATCCATCCCATCCATCCCCATCCATCCATACCATCCACCCATCCATCCATCCATCCACCCATCCATTCCACTCCATCCATCCATCCATCCATCCATCCATCACCCATCCATCCATCCCACCCACCATCCACCCACCCATCCATCCATCCATCCATCCATCCATCCATCCATCCATCCATCCACCCATCCATCCATCCATCCACCCATCCATCCATCCATCCATCCATCCACCACCCATCCATCCATCCATCCATCCATCCACCCATCCATCCATCCATCCCACCATCCATCCATCCATCCATCCATCCATCCATCATCCACCACCACCCACCATCCACTCCACCCATCCCATCCATCCATCCACCCATCCATCCATCCATCCATCCATCCATCACCATCCATCCACCCACCCATCCACCCATCCATCCACCTATCCATCCATCCATCCACACCCAGGTCTAAAGTAGGCAGAAAGGCGAGAGAGGGGCAGAGTCCTACCAGATGAGGGTGGAAGATAGAGATGAACATAGGAGTCAAGGAAGAAGAGACGAGCCACAGCATCTCGGCTGGGTAACAATGGAATGAAGTCACTAGACAATCACAAATAGCCCATAGCAGGGGTCCTCAAACTTTGTAAACAGGGGGTCCAGGTCACTGTCCCTCAGACTGTTGGAGAGTGCGCACTGTGGGCGCCGGAGAGAGTCGGCTGCTAGCAGGACAGCGAAGCGGCGCAAAAGACACCCACAGAAGGCCGGGATAAGTGTCCAGGCGCCGCATGTGGCCCACGCCGTAGTTTGAGGACACCTGGCCAAACACAACACGCAGGTCAACAATGGCAGGCTCCAAGGATTAAAGAACTGCTTGCCTGGTTAGCAGAGGATGCCTCATGTCCTGTGAGGAAGCAATTCTGAAAGGACAGGAGTGGTGTTCAGAGAGAAGGATGCTTTAAAACACACTTGGATGGTTAACACGGCACTTCCTGACAAGGGCACTATTGGCTCTGAGGTGAAACAATTCTTCGCTGGGCAGGACAGTCTCCTGTACTGCGTGACATTTAGCATCCTGAGTTTCTGCCTCTAAATGCCAATGGCACTCCTTATGATAATATTTGCAAAAAGTCCCCAGGAGAGTGGTGCTTCCTAGATCGGGAACCACTGGCCTGGGGTAGGACCACGAGGCGGAGAAAAATATTCGCAAGTGAGAAACTTAAGCAGAAGAGGCCAGCTGTGAGGATTCTATATGGATGATTTTTTTTTTTAGCAAGAATGATGGCAGGAGAGTGATGGACATAAAGACAGGGAGAAAGAGGGTAAATAATACAGAGGAATATTATTATTATTATTAATAAATACAGAAGAGTAGTTTGATGGTACATGGTTGAAGAGAAAGAAGCCATCCAGGCTGGGCGCAGTGGCTCGCACCTGTCATCCTAGCACTACGGGAGGCCGAGGTGGGAGGATTGCTTGAGGTTAGGAGTTCGAAACCAACCTGAGCAAGAGCGAGAACCCGTCTCTACTATAAAATAGAAAGAAATTAATTGGCAACAAGTATATATAGAAAAAATTAGCGGGCGTGGTGGCGCCATGCCCTGTAGTCCCAGCTACTCGGGAGGCTGGGAGGCAGGAGATCGCTTGAGCCCAGGAGTTGGAGGTTGCTGTGAGCGAGGCTGACGCCATGGCACTCACTGTAGCCTGGGCAACACAGTAAGACTCTGTCTCAAAAAAAAAAAAAAAAAAAGCAGCCATCTAGAAGTCACAAGGAGGACACCAACTCCACTGCCAGACACTGGGGAAAGCAGCCACCGCTGGAGAGGTGACAGGAATCCTCCTTAGCAGGTGGGCAAGATCGCCAAGCTGCGCTAAGCGACAGAACCTGCGTGGTGACGGAAATGTCGCCCCCCCAGCTATCCTGCAAGACAGCCGACAGCCACGTGCCCCTCTTAGCCCTTAAAATGAGGTCAATGTGTCTGAAGATCTGAATTTTTTTGCTTTGTTTCATTTTCATTAACTTAAATGTAAACAGTCCCCGGTGGTTACTGTATCGGACAGAGCAGAAGGATAGAAAGCGAAAGCAGCATTCAGAACTGAGTTTAAAGACACCGAGAATCCTTGATCTCTTCAGTCTTGGGGGAAGGAGGCAATGGCAAGTGTGAGCCTAGGTGAGTTGGTGAGTTTATAGCAAGAGGATGAGCAAAGTCGTGCTTAGTAGCATCAACATTTCCAATAAGCAGGATTCCAAAAACTCATTTTAATTCATTTCGGCCTCTTCTCAGACCAAATTCTGTACCATATTGTTATGGAGTACACTTGGGGAAAAAAAGTCCCCTTTAAAGCTCTAAAATATCACCACCATGTGAAAATCGTTCCTTCCCATAAGAAGCATTGGGTATTAATAGACTCTCACTATTGTCTTGGTTTTCTGAGATCTAAACGTACCTTCCCCCAAAGACTGGCCTTTTATCTCTGACAAAGGAAGAAAAATGTAACTTCCAAAAATTCCCTGTAAAAAGATTTTGTTCTTGTTTAGAAATGATACTTCTTGTTTTTTGTGTTTCTAGAAAAGCATATAAAGAAATTAGTTCTCGTGCATCCAAAATGAGATAAAAAAAAGGGTCTTAACAGGTTATAACTGCAAGCCTATAATCTGTGCCTTAACAAAATAATTTTTAAACGAGGTCAGAACCTGCACCTTCCTGCCCACCCAGCCAGCCCCACAGACATCCAGCATGGTCTTGCGGTCACGCCCTCAAAGCTTAGCGGCAAAGTTGCAAGCAACGACTCCGTCCATCTGCGTTCCCCGTCCAAATGAGCAAGGCCAATCTGGGGCCCAGGAACATGCGATCAATTGAAGAATCCCAACTTTAGGCAGAGGACAGGCAGAGTGCAGATAATGTCTAGATATGTCTTGACACTGCATGTCATTAGGAATAAAGAAACAGTAAAACGTTTTTGGTTAGTTACTGTCTCTCAGCGTCCACAATTTCCATTTTAATTGCAATTGAAATTATCAAAATACTCTCTAGCCCAAAGAAGGGACAGAGTCTTCACTTTAACAAACCCTAAAATACATAATTAAGAAACATCCTCTTTCCACAGACGTAGCCAAAAGATAAAAAATAATTAGAAAGAAATTTAAAGGTATTTATAATTTTTTTTTTATAAAAACAAACGAACAAACAAAAAAGAAACATCTTCTGAGAGGCTAATTGGCACAGCCCTATAATTGGTCAGATTTCCTAGTGGATTCCCTGGTCGATTTCCATGGGTTCTTGAGTCGGAATCTTTCCCTCACCTGCCCTCACTTAGAACAGGGGCTGGGTATCCTCCTGGCCGCTAGGCCTGCAGATTGACTCACCCCTAAATGGGTTTTCTACATTCACCTTGCTTCTGAATTCTGGGGATTGGCAAAATCCAGGCAAAAGCCTCAAGAACCTAAGAGCCCATCGATGTCTACAATGTTGGTGAGGCAGATTCCACCAGATGACCAGTCTTGGATCCACTGTGGGTCCAGCATATAGCTTTATTCTTCCACTGTAATGAATTCCATAGTTTCTAGTATTTGACCCATGGTTGAACTAAGAGGCTGGCTATTCTTGCTTTCTTCTTTAGTTTCTCCTGATGGAACTTGGGTCAACATGAAAAACAAAACATACCCAATAGCACTAGTTAACTATTCTAGTCTGTGACTACTGCCAGAGACAGACATTTTGCAACTGAACTGCACTTGGGAACAAGAAGACTCCAAGAAGAGTAGGTGAATGGATTGCTTGCCGTCCATCTCAGCTACCACAGGTCATAATGAAGAGCAGCAGAAAGAAGCTGAATTATGAATCCCCTCCTCTCTCTATCCACAAGCCCCCTCTGGTGGAGGAACTAACAGGTAATGAAATAGCTGTGACAATAACCAAAATGTTAGAAGAAGAAAAGACCATCTACAACAAGACAGTCACAGCCCCTGCAGAACTGAGAGTCAAGCGTAGCGATTAGCAAATAGGAGCTGCAACTGGAAAACCACTCACAGATGAAATGATTTACCAAAAGGTCAAGACTGCTCTTTTATCTTCATCACCCACCAGTTTCCATCGCCTTCAATCTGTCTGGCACATAGCAGAAAGCAGGCCATAAAATATCCGCCATAAAAAATTAGCCTTATTTTGCAACATTAAAAAAAAGAAGAAGAAACATATAGTTGGATATGGTTAAGCGTATGGGCCAGTGTATCAATTAGTAATCCTAGCACACATTACAAAAAGCATTGACATTTAAAGCCCTGTGATAAGAGGTCATGCACTCGGCAAGTTCCAGAACATTCTGCCCTATGCTTGGCCTTGCTGATCCACTGTTAGTTCTCAAGCAAGGGAAGGGGTCATTAATGCCCTCACCAAACACCGCAGCCATGGTGGCAGGAGGGAGGCACTTCCCTGTTTACTCCCCTGGAAGCCAATCTTCTCTGCAGCCTCTTCTTATAGCTGGTTTGGCTGCCAGGATTTCAGCCCGACATGCCTGCAGTACCTGCTGGCAGAGGAATTATGAGATCAACCACCTTCTCGCGCCCATTTGACAACCTTTATACAAAAAGAAACACGATATACTGGGAGAAAGTATATTTTCAGGCAGGAGGAATTCTGAAAAATTAACATATCTGCAAACTTCTACATTCCCCTTAAACAGACCTGGAAAAGTTACATTAATTCATTGTAACTAGACTGATTAAATTGATGCCATATCAGAAAATGGGTCACTTTCCTCCTCCTCCTTGCCCTCTCTCTAAATTTACCAATTGCTTTTCTGGTTTTACCAAATCAATTATGATATTTTTCATCTCGCAGATATAATCTAAGCTACCTGGGTTATTGAAAAATTCTTCTTCTCAGACTCTGTTGAAAAAGGGTACCTAAATATCTGCGTATTTATTTATATCATTGCTACTTGCAGATTTTTTTTAAAAAAAAGCAGAATCAAAAAGAAAGAAAAAAGTTCAAAGGAGTTTAGAAAAAGACATATCTATAAGAATGTTCAGCACTGCATCATGTATAACAGTAAAAGTTGGGAAATCTAAATGTCAAACAAAAGATTGTTCAAATTAATTGTGGTATAGTCATAAAGTAGGGTATACTCATGCCCCTGGTAACAATGTTTTGGTCAATGACAGATCACATAGACAATGGTGGTCCCGTGAGATTATAGTGCAGCTGAAAAATTCGTCTTGCCTTAGTGATGTTGTAGTCATCATAATGTCATAGAGCAATGCATTACCTTTTCTGTGTTTAGCTATGCTTAGATACACAAATAGGTCCCATTGTGTTACAACTGTCTACAGTATTCAGTACAGTAACATGCTGTGCAGGTTTGTAGCCTAGGATTACAAAAAAACATCAGCTTATTCCAATCAATATCAAAGTACTTTCACATCCAAAACTCACAACAGTGGATTCAAATGACCAATGGATACACCGCAGCGTGGCGCGGAAACAAAAAGGCAGCCGCTCTTCCATCCCTGTGGAGAACTGAGCGGTCTACAGAAAAGAGGCTGTCCCCTGCGCGTGTGCGCTGCGACCCCGAAAGAAATGTCCATGATTCGTTCTTTGCAAAGCTCCGACTGCAGAGACCGTAGGGAAACCCGCTAGCAGGTGTGTCTCGGAACAGGAGCTTAGCGAAGCAGAAAGGTTATCAGTTGTATCACCAGCAGGGAAGGAACCGCCAGGACCAGTCGCGGACCCTCATCCTCGGCGTCCTGTCTCCCGTGCGTGGCCGCTCTGCCCCGCTGGCCCGTGGGGTCAGGCGGCGCTAGAAAAAAAACGCAGGGCGATCCAAGATGGAGACAAAAACCAAAAAGTTGGCAAGCTCTGACATGGGCTAGATCAAGATTTGGTATGTTACACCCACCCCGGGCGATTTGCAGCCGTCAGCTCGGGGAACGAGCATCGCCTATGACAAAATCCGCAGAGAAAGGACACAGACCGTGGGCGTAAAGCGGAAACGCGCTAACGGGCCAGCGCCTTCCAAACAGGCGAGACGGGAAGAAAGGTTTCAGGAAGCAGATGGAGGACACAGGTTGGCCAGAGAACCCGAAAGTGTAGCATGCGTCTCAAAGCTCCCCAATAAAACACGGCCGTCTACTGATACCATACGAACAACAAATGGCTAGTATATACGGGACCAAAAAACAAAAAAAAGCAGATAGCTGCGCGTGCCATCTAAAATAGCCATTGCCCGGCACAAACTCGCTGCGTTAGGTTGAGGCTCTGCATGGAGAATTTGTATTTCATATAATAAACAAATAAAAAAATAGATACTATAATTAATATTATAATTTAATTTTGCAACAGAGCCTCGACAAAAAAAAAAAAGAAAATGTTGCCCAGGCTAAAGAGTGAGTGTGCCGAGTGATATGAATCAGCATCCGCTCACAGCAACTCAACTCTGGGCTCAAACGATCTCCTGCCTCGCGCTCCACGAGCGAGCTGGGACTACAGGACATGCGCCACCATGGCGGCTATTTTTCTATTTTTAGATTGTATTGGATAATTTTTTTCTATTTATAGTAGAGACGGTTTCACTCTTGCTCAGGCTGGTCATCGAACATCCTGAGCATCAAGCGATCCTCCTGACCATCGGACTTATACCCAGGAGTGCGGTGAATTACAGGCCTGAGACCTCCGCGCCGGCCTCTATAATGAATCTTAATTAATAGGTTACACGTGTTTTTACGATATTTTGATTTGCTTTGAATGGGGAAGATGTACTTTAGGTTTCCAATAATTTTATCATGAATCTCTACGTTGATTAGAAAAATTTTGGTGATCATGAGAAAAGATAATTCTAGTGCTGTTGAATCCTTGGACTATTCTAGTTGCTTAGCATCACAAATCTTGTCATTGAGTAGGGTTTGACTGTTTGCCCTCAGGGGTGAAGCCTTCCATAAGTAGTTAATTCCTTGTTGTGTTATTTTATTGGATGCTACTGGACTGGATAGAAGCTGACTTGGAATAACTAGAAATTACCTTACTTTTTAATTTTCGGTGTCTTAAGTAATTACGTTAATTGATATTATTTTGAGGATAACTATCATGAAGACTATCCGCAGAACTTATACTCGAACCTGTAACGTTACATCTTACTGTAGTGTTCCTCCTTATCTCATCTTCTTTTTCCAACGCACCATATGCACTAAAGTGAAATAGCATTGTACTGTGATTTTTATTCATCGTTTCCTTGTTTCTTTCTCAATTTTTCAAATAATTTTGCATATTATATATATATATATTATATATATATATATAACTCACTCAAACAAGATATATTTTAGTTTTTGAGTGTTAGAAAAATGGGCTTTTATTCACAGGTGATGTTTCCCGACTTCTCTCACATCATGGCATGCATTGAACTTGAAAATATTGGAGAGCACCCCTGTGTAAATGCTCATGCCTCCCTGCAACTTTGGCCACTCAAGTACGATTCACCCCGGCAACTAAGGGTTCAGTATATTAGACCCTAGTAACCCATTAATGACATACACACTTGGGAATCACTGCTGGATTGTAGTGTCTATATGTGTTGTTTCCATTGGATTTCTGTTTCTGAGATTTGTCCCATAGTTGCATGTGGCTATCCTTCATTCTTCACTGCTGTATAATATTCTGTGTGTGAACATACAGCATTTGTCATCTTATGTTGTTTTAGACTCCTCTTTGCTTTTCAGTTACACTGGGATCATGCCAGCCCACCGTGACTTACAGAAAACGTCTGTTTGATTTAGTATTTCTTAGGTTCAAAGAGGTGATTTTAAATTTTGGTTTTAAAAAGCTGCTTAAATTTACCGCATGACGTTATGGTGAAAGAGGTCAAATTAATTTGATTGGTATATAAGATACACTTCTATTTAATCTATTATTAGACAAATCCATTTAGTTTTAGTGTTTGCCTGGAGTACTGTTTGGAAGTATTTTGGTCTATGCCAGGGTTTTTATGGTTAATAATTCAGCGTAGCTATTGATGTCTGCCCTGAGTATGCCTCATGGGAACAAGACATACCTGTTACATGTATCTGTCATTCGCTAATCTAGGGTCTCTCTCTGTCTCCTGCTATGATTATCTTGGCAATCTCTTGATCATGTGGATTTTCTACTTGTAGCTAACCTCTTTTTGGGAAACAAATTTATAGTTAATTCTAAAACTTAAGAACATCACATAGTTGTTGCTCTTTTCTCTGGCTATTGTTGTGTCTCTGCTTACCTGCACACAGTCGACACTTTTCCCGTTATGTCTAGAATTCCATTCCTTCTGCAAAGCATATTTCATTCACCATCATTACTGAGCCCCAAACTGGAAACTGATAGCATTCTTAGTTTTCCTCAGTTTCAGGGTTTTGAACTCAGCTTTCCATAGATAGATCTTGTCCCCTGTAATGTGAAATAACTAGAGCACAAAGTTTTGAGACTCTCCAGAACCTATTACATTATTTTTTTAGATAAATCTTTCTTGTTCTTCATTCATGAACTTTTGAATTTCCAAACGTGTATGAATGTTTGATCAGGAAATGGCTGCAAAAAGCTTCAAATCCCACTTGAATAATGTGTTCTTAAAGGTAGGCTCAAGTGCAATACCGTGGATCATACATTCATGCATACGATAGTATATAAATAAGGGGACGAGCAAAGCAAAGGCCAATCGATGATGTATAGGTCAGAAGCTTTCCATCTGGATGGAGTCATTTTAGCAAATGACATCATGTGTCCTTTGAGTCTGCTGTGAATATGTGCTGAGTCATTACAGATTCGGCTCCTCTCTGGGTTACTGGGATGGCAGCCGTGAGGCTCGATAAAATGAATGCATTGGATCAGCAGGAGCAGATTTGCATAATTAGGGGACAGTGAGGAAGGCTTCTCATTCTGCAGAAACCTCTGGGCCCGTCCACCAATTCTAGTTTCTTATCCTTATCGGTTGACTTTTTTTTTTTTTTTTTTAAGGACTTAAAGACGAGGGAGTTGGACTGAGCCAGGTGCTCTTTCTGTAGCTGCGGTGGTAACTGTGCATGGGCTCGTGAGCAGGTAATCAATAGCAATGAATCTGTCCACTTCTAATCTTCTCTAACGTCGCCATTGCTCTTCTGGTTGGGGCTCTTGGAACCGTAGGTTTGGTTTAGAATTTACTTTGATCTGACGGGGAGCAGTCACACCAGCGAGACCCTCGAGTGACTAGCAGGACGTGCCTGTACGAGAGGGGGGGGATGCTGCATTTTCCATTGGCACGCGAACTCGGTCTTTTAGACCCAGTGATAAGAGGAGCTCCAAGTGCTCTATTTCTGATTAGTCAGGCTTCAGGAGGTAAACTGTCTCTTGCCGATTTCGTTGTTTTTTCCCCCTCCCTTCTGGATATTTTTGAGTGTTAAAAGTTGTTGACTTTTTTAAAGTGGATAGGTTGGAATGAAAAGGGCTTTCAGTCATGCTGTTGTATTTATAGGCATTTATAGTTCAATCTTTTTTTTTTTAATTTTTTTTCTTTTTTTTTAAGAT